CCTCAGAGGGATGACCAGTGCTGGATCTTTAATTTTACACAGCTGGCAGACCCGCCGGACTTTTCCCACCACTCGACCACAGACGGGCCAGCGGGGGAGCCGTCGAACTCTGGTATCAACTTCAAGTCGAATCTGTCCATGTTGTAATAATGGCCGAAATAGCTTGTAGCAAAGGAGTCAAATTCAACAGTGTAAGGGACGCAACTCTTTCCGTCTGAAAATGTCTGACACGATGAAACGCAAAGCAATGTACACCGAACACGGTGTAATGCCCTTCTACCAATTTCTCCAAGCGACCTGCTTTTATGGAGCCCAGACACACCTCATTAGCATGCGTGTAACGTGACTTTGCGTGACTGCACGAGACCGTGAATATTAAAAAGTCACAGATGCCATCTTGGACCCTTTCTTTCTTATCTCAACCCACAGGCCAGACAGACGTGAGGGCATTTGGGAGGTAAGCCATTTCTATTTTCCCCACAGTAGCTGTTAATTTACTCTATCCAACAGTCTTATGTATCTAATATTGTTTCCATAGAAATAAATAGGAGGAATTACTTATAGAACATTCCTCATATACAGATTCATATACTCAATAAAAAAAACTTATTCTCAAATCATTCAGAAAAGATATTTATTAGGAAAAATATTTCTCTACTTCTACCTTATCTGTTCTTCTTTGTTCAAATATATGGCTATATAAATATATAAGGCTTTGTGCATTTGTAAGATGCATAATAGTATCCAAAACAAAAGTGAAGATGATGAGGCAAAGTGGGAAAGCTTTGAAATGACATGTTTTGCTGATGTAATGTGTTGGGTTCAGTTTCTTTAGGTCAGAATGTATGAGAAAACTGTAAGAAAAATGCATTGGGATTTTTGAGGATTAGAGGGGCAATAAATTAAATTAGCTTATCAGATCTGACAACCAGTGACCAGAAATTGTTCATTTATTTTTTTTTTTTAGAATATTTATTAGAGCTGTTGGAGTCTGTTGGATCTTAAATTGATCCACTCCGAGTATATTGTTTTTGTTCTCAATTAGTAGCACAATATGTTATATGAGCTATGTATGGTCTTGGTCTTAGGTTTATTGTTGTGAATTGTGACATTAGCACACTCTCAATGAATTTTTTTCTTAATGAATTCTTTTCTCTCCTGGTCAAACTGGCATTTATTAGGTTTGTAAAGCCAATCCTCTCACACAGTGTCAGTTGTAACGTGATCTCTGGTCAAAGTGACCATGTGAGATTGTATACTAACCCCACTGGGTCAATGTCATCCACAAGATTGGCTGTTGGTCCTGTATTGTCCAATATTACAGGTTAGATGTAAGTCTCCAGTTTCAAATGTCGATTCAATTCCACTCACCAGCCATATTGTGATTTTTGATCCTGGTGAGTAGTTATCTGGTCATAGAATTCCAAAAGCTCTCCATTAGTCCACCTGCAAGCTTGTTGGGTGAGAATCAGGTTAACAGCAAATAAATACAGCCAAGTCAACCCGATTTTAGAGGGATAAAAGTTTTATATATATATATATATATATATATATATAACATCAACAGTACATATAATTCTCATGGCAAAAAATTGAATGTCTCTTGTATATGAATGATGATCAACAAAACAAAAGAAAATACTTTGTGTAATTTTGTTAAAGGAGAGAGGCTTCATTTTAACCCTTTTTGGTCTGTTCTTAGTGCAACTACTACAACCGTTGATGTCCCGTACTCAGTAGTAGTAATAGTAGTAGTAATATTAGTAGTAGCAGGAGTAGCGGTACAACAGCACATGTTAGTGGGCACTTTGTTCCAATCTCTGGTATCACTTCCTCACTGTCTCTAATCCAACTCTGCTCTCAAGCCAACTCTGTTCTTTATATAGAAAACTGGTGACATATTTGTGAACATACCAACATACTTTTATTAGGAACGAGATTAACCAATTTCCCGACACACTTCTAAATTAAAGCTTCACACTAGCTTCATCTTTTAGTACCCTGACTGTATTACCATTGTCTTGTTATTGATAAAATTAACCTTTAGATCAAGACATTCTTAATTCTATCTTCTATTAATAATCTGATATCTTTTGTATGCTTTTAAAAAAAAAAAAAAAAAAAAAATTGTATTTCGTTTTCTAAATAAAATCTGTAACATTAATATTTCAAAGTTTTTACGGCTTATCAACATCTTGGTTATTCGAAAATACCTCTCTTCATTTGTTTTGTTTCACAGCATCCCCTTTTCTTTTCATTATTATTATTTCAGGGTGATATTGCCCCCTGCCACAGATTGAAACTGTGGTCAGATGTATTACGGTGAACTGCCAGTGTATTTAGAGTGTTGTAATGCCACATATCTCTGCAATGTTTATAATAGTCTTATTTTTTTTTTTATACACCATTGGGCATTTTGTACAAACTATTCTGTATATTCCTGCCTCTATCCTGTTGTTGTGATCTTCTGTGGTACTAACTATATATTATATCATTCTAGAGGTAGTGTTGATGAATTTTAGGTTAACGTTAGGCAAGTTATTTTCAATGGTGGCTGATATGGAGTTATTAGGTAACATTATGTATGGTTATTATTATTTGTATTATTCTTCTGTGAATTTAGTATATTTTGTGTTTGACATTGTAGAAGAAATAATTTGGGTATTGGAGGAGTTTGAGAGTTTCTTCAATGTATTTGGGAAGGAAGTGGGGGCTACAGATTCTAAGAACTCTTAAATAAGATCATTATTATTTATGGATTTCCAATAGACCTTTAATTGTATATCCTTCATATTAACATTATGTCAAGATATGGTAAAGTATAGTTTGATTCTGATTCATAGTTGAAATTGATTGTATGTTCTATACAATTTAATCTATCAACAAATTCTGGTAGTGATGTAGCATGTGAATTCACACAATTATCAATAATAAACCTAATACCAGAACTTTACATAATATCACTGATCATCACAAAAGCAATAATAGAACAATGCAGTATACAAGCTAATAGAAAAAAAAGTGGCTGATCTAATAAATATCAACAGTTCTTTATTAGCAATTTTGTCTTTGAAAATGACAAACACTACTATACGTCTTGAAAAAAAAAAACACTTGGATGATGACATTGTGCTAATGACAAAAGTACTCAGAATAAATAACATTATGTAATCTTCTCTCTTCCTTTAATAATGACACCAAAAGCTTGTCCATGAACAAACTTGTCTAAATTATTCATTGAAACATGTCTATATATATATATATATATATATATATATATATATATTTTCTGTTCTCTGGTCATTGTATCTGTTAATTTATTGCTCTTGCTCTTATCCTCAAACATCCCAATGCATTTTCCTTACATAACCTGAAGAAGCCAAACACAAAAGTTTCATGTAGGGACTATTGAAAAGTATAAGTACACAATAGGTTGTCATTTAAGATTATCAAGGAGTTCTTTAAAATTGTGACTAAGCAAAATGATGCAAAGTAAAAGAAAGTCATGGTAATTTTTCTAATGAGCTTTCCTCTTTGGAACCTCATCTTCAAAAGTTTAACAGCAGTACTAGGTTGCCAACTAGATCTCATTTTACTGTTAAAATTGCCAGATGAAACTTTAAATACTATGCTATATTTATTAATTTTTTGAACTTCTCACTTGTGGCCCTTTTTCATGTCAACTACAATCTTCAAAAATTTAAATGCAATGTCAATCATTATTTTCTGTTTCCTTGAATACTGTTTTTTTATTGTCCTCTCTCTCTCTTTTCAATAACATTTTCCCAGTTTTTTCATTCTCAGTAAATTGTGTTTTTATCAACTTGTTTGGCTTGAAATGATTAGAAAATAAATAAAAAATGAAGAATAAAATTCCTACAGTTGTCTGTATGCTGTATAATTTTGAGTACAAGCTTTAATTTTGTTTTTTAGCATTAAAATCCTGTTCCTTTATTGTCCTTTTCCTCACTAAAATCTTCTCATTTACTTTCACACCACATAACCTCCTTATTGCATTGTTTGATTGATCATTAAACAAAATGTATTTTATTCTTTTATAGTGTTTTGACCCCAGCTTGGGGGTTCATTATTTGCCCATAGTTGGAACCCTAACATCTGCTACCACCCCTCCGGGTCAGGGTGAACCTAGGAACAACAGCAATTAGGAGGTGATTACATGTTCCTCAAAACCTCCAATCTCCCGATTAGAGGCCTTGCTGCTGAATATTGTCATGCCTTTATATGATTATTGTACACATTGCAGTTTTACATTATTTTGTTTTATATTTTCTTTATCAACACAATAATGAAATGACATTTAAGTGAGGAATGATTCCAAAAGAATCATTAACATGTTTATGAATTGTAACAGAAGAGCCAATATGTTTTGGGGAATGTACAGGTAGGTACAAACAAATATATTAATGTATAAATTGTTATAGAGACTTAAGTATTTACCCATGTATGAAAAAAAATCATTAAAATGCTCTTCATAAGCAACAAACTATTTAATAAACAATAATATTAACAACATCACAGTCCCGATTAAAATAATTCTTTAAACCCACTTGCTTTCTTTTAAATAATTCTGAAAATAAAATTTTGAAAATAGACATTTCTTCTTTAAGGTGAAACCAATTATCAATTTACTGCATTCATGGCTGACCAGCAAAAACAACATATGATTTCAGGGTTCCCTTGTTATAACTATAATATCACTAAAGAAAAATTTTCTCTTATTTAAACTCAATTTATTCTTTTAACTTAAATGTGATAACAAATTCATTGGACTGAATGCATTTTATATTTTTACTATATTATTCTTATCAACAATCATTTTCTGCTGGCCATAAAGGTTCAGATAGTTTCATGGTAGATACAATTTTGTTAATGTTAAGGTATAACTAAAGGTATACCTGTGACCTCAAAGCCTCAAGTAGCCCTCTATTTTTTTTAGAATGATGAACACATTTTCATAATGAAATCTGTTTCTGCCTTACCGTATTAACCAGTGGTCCTTAGGTGTGAAAGTTCTGCGACTGTCTCGTTCATAGAGAATCATGAGCAAATTTCTGGCAGATCCAAAAACATCACTGGATGCAGCTACTTGAATGTCTGTCAAAGAAAAAATATAAAAATATGAAATAAGACATGAGGCATTAAACTTCAGAGCTATATTTTAAGACTATCAGTTAGATCAGTGCTTGGGAAATTAATTTTATGATCTAGATCATTGCTCAGATTTAAGTCACCCTATTTGTTGTCTTGCATTGATAAAACTAGAGTAATCAGCTATAATACATATCAATTGTCACTTTAACAAAATTGATTAACTTTTTAAATCCTACATGAGACGAGTATTTATTTACATTGTTTGGACTGTTGTCCTCATTTTTATTGACATATTGAATATGGCAATAAAAATGAGGACAACAGTCCAAACAATGTAAATAATTACAATGCCTTATCTCAGAAATATAGACACGTATGAAATGAGTAATTATAATTTTCATTGTACCATGAATATTTTATTTCTAATTTATCTATATAAATAATATAAACAACAACTTTTTCTTGCCTGAATTTTATTAGATAAAGTATTTTAATAAATGTTCATTAGCTGGTTACTCTTGTCTTAATAGCAAGTCTGATAAGTTTGTTAAAAATCAAATTGGCAGGTGATCTTGAAAATGACCCATAATCTTTTGTAAACAGGGACAAGAAGTAGCTTAACACCCAAAAACAAAATTTTTCTATTACTCATCTTAAAGAACCATTTTTACCTTCCATCAGCATGGCTGATGCTAACCCACACAAGAAAAACTCACTTGATCTCACATTTTCCACTTACATGAAGTGTAATGATTATATTGAATCAATTGCTATGTCTGCTACTAGTAAAGTCAGTTTACTATGTCATGCATCAACTATTGCTCTCACATCTGGTCTGGTAATTTTGTTTTATATCTAAAGATTCTTAACAAATTCAAAAAAGAATCAGCAACATTATCAGTCTTAACCTGGCATTGGCTTCAGTCACTTTCACCACCCCCCACCCCCACCCACCTAACATAGCTTACCCATACCTCTTCTATAAATATTTTCATGGTAATTCTTAGGATGAGCTTTCCTTGTTGGTACTTCTTTATGAATTTAAACACAGTACTAGATTGCTAGCTATGTCTCATAATTCCAGTGTTGGAAATTGCTAATTGCAACTACAAGTTCTTTGCTAATGGTTCATTCTCCAGCACTTCTTGCTTGTGGAATTTTTTTCCAGATTCTTGTTTTCCTGTCACCCTGAATGCTGTTTTTTTATTGTCCTCTCTGTTTCATTTTACTTTTAGTAACCCCTTGCATCCTAGTGGCTTTTGTTGCCTTCCTTGAGATAAAATTATTAAAAAAAAATAAAAAAATGTACTCCTCAGAATTTTTGTCTTCTTCTGACCCATGTGCTGAACACATTGTAATCCAATGGGTCCTCACTTGAATTGGCTTAGGACAAACATGAAGTCAAGTGGGCCCTAAATGATTTTATCTATGTAAATGGTAAAGTCAAAGTAAGATCTTCAAGAGGCCAACCACTGTCCACAAAAAGGTAGAAGAGAAGTGAAATAAATAAATTAAAACTTTCAGAATCAAATGCCACTTGGCCAGAAGTATAGGAATTCCAGTTGTAGGCATATATATGCAAGATGACAGAGTAAGTCAGTTCTGAGTTATCCATTAGTGGATGACAGGCCATCAAGGGAGATGTAAAAAGTCAGAACAGAAAGCCATGCATCATGGAGATGGACAGAGGTGTGGTAATCAGCAGTCAGAATTATGAGAGGGAGAAACAGTTAAAGCAAGATAGAGTTCTTGGTGACCAAAGACAAGATCTAGTCTGTTTGTCTGACATAAGAGAAAACTGTAGTGGCAGCAAAAATGTCCTAAATTTCACCTATCTACAAGCCAGACAATGTCAAGTGAATCTGTGAGAAAATAAACAAATATATTGGAAAAAGGATTCGTGCTTTCATTTCTTGTCATAGTATTATTTCAACCTGTGTTGCTTTGTTGAACATATACCAGGTTTCTCTCAAAATCAAAATTTATCCAGTCAGTGAAGAGCACAGTGAGGGTCCTAGTTATATGTTTACATTATGACCTTCCAATAAATCACCTGAATTTAGCCAACCAACACTCAGGCCATATTGCTAGAATTTCAAATTAATTCCTGATTAATGGCTATCACAACGCTTGGTTTGCTGATCAAGTTATATACAGTTTCATACTATACTATATGCATTCATAAATAGACTTTGATATTTGATGAAAATATTCAAAGAAATGACAATACATTAAAACAAATTTACTGCAAAAATAGTGATTGTGTGAAATACTGGTTTGAGGCCATGAAAAGACTTCATAATTAATTGTAAGAAATAAAAACTTGTCTAAATAAATACGAGTTCACTTACCCATTAAGTGGTTCCAAATAACCTTGAAGACAAAATGATTGAGGAAGTCTCCCATCTTGATGTAGTCCTCCAAGGAGAACATAAACTGCTGTTCATACATCTCCATGTCATCTAGTGTGCTGCCAATAATAGTGAATGTGATCATGAATAGGTTTTAATGGCACAGTGATATCTAGTTGGGTCACAGAGTATTCATTTGTGGAGGGTGCATTAATGAGTTTTCAATGCTTTCGTTTTTGATGTTGATCTCCAAACTATTTTTCTTAAAAGAATGGAGACTTGTAAGAAAATAGAAACAAAAATGAATTAAAAAGAACCAAAAGAAAAGGAATTTAAAAAAAAAAAAAATGAGTAGTACTTCCAGTTTTCCTATTTGAATTTTCAGATAAATCAATTCTTAATTTAATGATTGAATATAAAATGAATATAAAATGCCCGTAATAATGCAATAAATTCTTTTAAGATTCAGAATTGACAATTGATTGAATCTTCCATTTCATTGAAGCAAATGTTAAACACATGAGAGCATTATTCAGTGGAAATAGAGTGAAAAATAACTGAGCAGTACTAAAAATAAGAACTAGACAAGATATCCCTAAATATAGGCAGTGGAGCAAAAACAGTCTACACTCATAGATTACATAAAGGTTTCAGTTCAGAAATCTCTGTACATTACCCAAATCAATATACTCCTGATGAAGGCCAAAAGGCACACCAGTCAAAACATCGTGATAACAACAACAACAAAGATAAGGGCAATAATCCAAATGTAAATAGTGCAAATAATGATAACAGAAAATCAAAATTATAATTTTTGCCCAGAGATTATTTTATTAAATTTTTCAAGTCTGAAAATTCTAAACTAAAAATATATTTTTTGACTTCTAATCATCTATTCTGTCTCTTTTAGCAGCTGTATGATTATTAGCCAATGCCATAAGTCATTGCTACTGGTTTCTTCCTCACTGAAGACTCCACGGAAATTGGTTCTTAATTTGGCTTAGTCCAACAGGTATCTATTTCAGAAAATTACTAAGCTTATAGAGCACAAACACAAATGACAAGAAATGATGTGGAGAAAATTGTATAACACCAACATTTCCATTGAAAATTGCCTACCTGTCTTAAAAATAAACATTCAAAAAGATGGTGCCAAAACAAAAATTTTTTTTACTGCTGATAAATGTGTAAATATTTTCTTCAACAATTATAGTCAAAGATTTACTTATTTTACCTATCAAATATTTTTCAAACAATTGAACCCATTCAATGCATGATCATTAGTTGTTAAAACATTCCAGCTGATCCATTTTAGTGCTCATTAACATGTAGACACAATCTACTGTTTCTCTCAATTTATTTTAATTTCTAGCCAATTCCACCATCTTAGCCCTAACAGTGAGGGTAACTTTGTGCCATTTAAAAACCAAGCATCCCCCGACCAACACAATTTGTAATTATATATTTTTATCCATTCTCACTTCAAGACAATCTTCTAAATCTAAAAAATAAAACATATATATATAAATATATAAACTGGATCATATCATCATGATCTGGTTTTAAAGACATATGAAAGGGTGCTGAAATTTTCTCATCCCAACCAAGAATGACCTTAAGCCATGACCTGTACATTGTATTCCACATATTCACCCCCACAGTTCAACACACTTAGCACATAGTTTCAAAAGTTTTTTAACCTTTAAAAAGATTTTTTTAAAAATAACAATGCAATTTTAGGAAGTGGTTTGAGGCAAGGACTTTTCAGCATCCCCTCATACTAATTATTTCACTTTTAAAAATAAATATTTGCATAGTGTTTTATAAGTATGAGATAGTAATAAAATAATCTGTATGGTTTACACTTACATGATAAGATGCCCTGCTGATTCGCAAAACAAAGAGAGCAGACTGAACACAGGATGCTCTGTACTGTTTGGAGTTTGTGTCAACAGTTCTAAAAACACTTTAAGGCCACAGTTTGGACCAAGATCACATAAAAATTTCCATAAAATTGGCAGGAGAACCTCATTGTAACTCAGGCCTAGAAAAACAAAACTGAAAATGAACAATCTACACAAAATCTTTACAAAAATTATAAAAACAAGAGTACTTTTAAAAACACACTTTTACTAATAGCAGGTGGTTCTTTCTATAGAATTTTCAGAAAAATCTCTTTAACTCATAAAAATGTTTATTTCTAACTTTATTTTTATATATAATTTTTTATTGCTGTAGTGTAGTTTTTATTCAAAATAACCAAGAATTAGGAAGACTGTAGTTAGAGTATTGAAGGAACAGAAGACTAGGTAGGGAATACAAAGAAGAGGTTCATTAAATTCTGATACATAGAACGGAAAAAATGTGAGTAAATCAAATACTACTCAAATCCCTCTCTAATGTGGCTACTTGCCATATTTATAAGTAGGAGCAGTCCATTGTCACAGTAGTAGGGAAGAGAATGAAGTACCCTGAGTTCTAATCTACAACAGGCTATATTTAAATTGAGACTAATGTAATTGGGTTTAAATAAATACTACATTAAGTATAGGATGACACATCTTAATAAAAGTAAACATGTTCTTCTGATTGTCTTTAGATAAATTAATCACTGGTTTAAGACATCTTGCCAGAAAATGCATCCAAATATAAAATAAAGCAATGATTAATCCCACTGTAACTGATAAGTTCTTTAAATACAAATTAACCAAATCAATTTATATTTTTAGAGATTATAATAGAAATTTAGATGACCTTATTATCCTCTCAAGATATTCCAGATATATCCAAGAGCTTTAATCCTTTTTATAGTAAGTATAACAATTGTTTGAATACAAGGAATTCATATTAAGAAAAAAACATGTTTACTTAAACAGTAGAAATATATTTTTCTTTTTTTTTTTTCTTTTACACAAGATACCCTCCCTAAAACCAACAATTAAAATTTTAGAAACCAGTATTTATTTTTAAAAAGATCAAAACAAAAATTTAGATAATTATAAAACCAGTAATATTTTTTATTTTTTAATTATACTCAAAAACCTGAATGTTTTATTTTTAAATTATCTCAAATGTTATTGTATTTTTACAGTAAAAAATGGCAACTATTTAAGTAGTTCAAAACTCATGATGTGAATTATTCTACTGATTTAAAAATCAACCCCTTATTGCAGATCATTCCTTACATATAAAAACTAAAGTTCACTAAATTTAAAATGCACTTTTCTGATACTCCTTGTGGGGAATATGTCAGTGAAAATCTTTTTTTTTTTTTTTTTGCTTTTTACAGTAAGGTTCACCCTTTACAAGGCCCAGGTCACTTGAAGTAGAGTGTCACATTAGAAGGTTTTGTAGTGATCGGGGAAACATCCTCTTGGGAGTCAGTTTTACAGAGCAGTGGTTCACAGTGGTGATAATCTGTCAAAATGAGTGATGAGAGTCATTTAAAAGTCACAACACATTTAAGAGTACTTGATTAAAATGTTATTAGAAGAAAAGATTGTGAACAGAAATGTGAAGCATGGCTGTATTTTTTTCTTTACTTCTAAGGAAATAAAACTGCAAAGACAATTTATAAAAAATGTTGCAACTTTTGTTTTCTTCTTTGCAACAACTGAGAACAGCTTATATGAAAACATTAATATTTACTAGGGTATGAAAGTATTGAATCCAAACACAATAAAGGTGCTGACAAAACATACAAAACACAACAGTATAGACTACCATCAATATTAAATGGCCCTGGAATACTGCCAGTGCTATCAAAGTCATCATCAGAATTAAATTAATCTATTCCCCTTATTCCAAGTTATTCCTTAGTGTCAAGAATGACCTGCAAGTCTTCCTGGATGGACATTCATAGTTATGACTGTTTGTCATGGTATTGAAATTCAATCACTTGCTGGTAAAAAAAAAAAAAAATCCCCAAATAAATCACTAGATTCAAAGAAAGCTACTGCAATATGGAAATCATTATAGTGCTTGGGATGATTCTACAGGGCATAATCCTCTACAGACAAATGGTATAGTTGCAAAAGCACATTTGGTTTAGCAGATGTGACTGGTCTATTTGAAATAGTATCTATTATGTAAAACTAAATTTTCTACAGTAATAAGGAGCACTAAGCAGTGAGTTGCACTGCCTAGTGCTCCTTATTACTGTAGAGAATTTAGATTTATATAATAGATAACTGACACCCATTTTCAAAATTTACTTCAAGAGGATCCTATATTTTCTAAACTGAGTCATCAAGAATCTTTGATAAAGTTAACAAACATTTAGTTAAGTCACATTCCAAGACAAGATAGGAGCATTAAATTTTTTTTTAATCAATTCATCCCAAAGTGCAAATATGACACTAAGACACAAGGGGATATTGGGATTAAAAGAGAATAAGAAGATTTTAGAAGGAACTGGAAACTCAATCCTAGACAGGAAACAAGGGATAAAATTCTACTGTCCAAAACTAGCAGAGGTGTGTGAAGTGGACAATAGTCAAATGTTCCTATTGAAAATGATAGCTTAAATGTTACAGAATAAAACCAGAAGCCATGAGAAAAATTGTATATATTACATACCTCCCAAGATATCCAGACGCAACTGACTCAGAGTATCAATGGCCCTTTGGTACAGAGCACATGGTAAACATGTTGCCCGTGCAACATGACTCCCCAGTTTTATTTTCCCACCAGTATTCTTTGAGGAAGCTTTTTCCAAAGCTTTCTTCAGAAGGCCTGAAATATAAACACATAATTAGATAAAAAAAAGTAAGAAGAATATTTAGAGAAATCTCCTCTCAAGTAAAGAAATAACCTTTTAACTTTGATTTATTTTCCATCTAAAGCATTAAAACTATTTAACAGTTTGTTAACAAATAAATTTGAGATCTGGTATTAAAAAAAATTCATGTGAAATTTTATCACCAAAAATAGGTCAGACTTTCAATTTTACATACTTCAAATCATTTTAATTAAATATTTTTCTACAAATTTATTTTGAATTATATATATTTCAAAATAAATTTCTAGAAAAAATGATCATTATAAGAGAAGATAACTCAGACTTTATTTTAAAAACTTTATTTGAAAAAATTTGTAAATTACAACTAGATTGACACCAGCAAAATTAATGTAGGGCATGATCTTGTAATGGTCTTAAATTATTTTAATTCTGAGATGAATCTCATTACTAATTATTAACTAGTCTTTTAATCAGCTTACTACTCTCTAACCATTAAAGTAACAAAGAATAGCTGCTGACAAGATCTATTTATATTCCATATTTTCACTTTTATGAACAATACCTTAAGTAATTTAGCCATGGGTATTTATGGTTAGACAGGGTACAAATCCATATTCATACTGATTCCTCCCTACAACAACTTGGTTAAGGTGTTGACCATAAAAGATGGGATATAAGATGTGAGTTAAAGTTTCATCAGAAAATACATTTTATTCCTAAATCATAAATCATTCTATTTTAATGATTGTTTAAAGGTTATTTGACCAACAAAGTTGCAATAAAAAACAGTAATGATAAAGAAAGGATGAACTCAAAATTAATAATACTGCATGACTATTATGAAATTTATATATATATATATATATATATATATATATATACACAGGGTGTTCCAGAAGTCTTGGGAACATTTCAAGTCCTCATATCTGCTGAACTATGAATGGTAGTAAGATGAAACTGGTACCATTTTAAAGCTAAATTCATTAAGTTTTTTGTAATGATTTTTCTCATATTTTTTCTCAGATCCAGTAATGGCGTTCACTCAACCAGAAAAGGCATTTTGCGTCCTTGTATTTGCAAAAACTGAATCATGGACACTTGTTCAATGAGTGGAGCCCATGTAAATCGATCACAAGAACCAATAAGGAACTTCAGCTTCCTACAACTATTTGGTGTGTCTTAAAAAGATGACTGAACACGACACCTTACAAGCTACATTTAACCCAACAGCTACAGGACACTGATAAATCAGCTCATCATGACTTTTGCATTGCAAGAGAAGTTGGAAGATGATGGATTTGATGTGTGCCGTGTGACCAATGGCGCTCACTTCAAGAGAAGCTCCCGTAAATCGAGCAGAGGAGCCAGTAAGGAACTTCAGCTTCCTACAACTGTTTAGCGTGTCTTAAAAAGACGACTACAAATGACACCTTACAAGCTACAGTTAACCCAACAGTTACAGGACACTGATAAACCAGCTTGTTGTGACTTTTGCATTGCAATGCAAGATAAGTTGGAAGATGACAGATTTGATGTGTGCCATGTGACCAATGGTTCTCACATTGAACATCTTTGAACATTCCATGTAAAACTTGAGATTAAATTCTTTCAGAATATGTCAGACACATTTTTATATCCTTAATAGTTTTAAGATATTCAATGTCAAAATGTTCCCAATTTTGGAATTTTGGAACACCCTATATATATATATATATATATATATATATATATATAATAGACACTGAGGTTAATATCGAGTAGCGACAATCTCCAGGCCAGGCATTCAAGCATGAGACAGATTGTTGATCTCAGTGTCCACATATTGAGCACTTTTACTCATAAATATAGCTCATATAGCATACCTTAAAACTATATTTTTATCACACACACACACACATATATATATATATATATATATATATATATATATATATATATATAATCTGGTTGGTTGACAATCACAGTAGCATGAAACTTGTGTAGCAGTTCAAACTGTCTCTTTTTTGGGAAGTGTATAGTAAACAAAAAATATAAAAAATGTTTATATCCATCATTTGTATTAATATGACAAAATTTGCCTGTATGTTTGCACACACAACACAGCCAAATGGAAAGTCACAGAATCCCAGTTTCTTGCATGAATAAACAACAAGAACTCAAAATAACAACATAAACTATATGAAGTCATTCAACTTCACCAAAGTGTATAATATCCATTCAAATATATTCATTTCTAGTAAAATGGATAAAAATATTCAGTGTGCTTTGAAATACAATTTTTGGGGGTTTTATTTTGATCTCACAATTGGTAAAATGGATAAAGCTAAATAGGATCTCCAAACTCACCAAAGATCATTGGAAATAGAATTATATGGTGCCTTTATGAACTGTATTGAAGTTAAACAATTACATACTTGGAGGTGAAATGATACATTGGAGTAACACTTGGGTGGAAAATGATTATAAGATCAGGTCACCAGACATTATTTTGGCATTCAAATGGCTTTTTTTTCAAACAAGTAAAAAAAAAAATTTAAAAGGTTTAAAAAAAAAAAAAAAAAAAAAAAAATCGATTTATTTGCAAAATATGCAACCCTTAAAACATTTTCAAACATACATTTGGAAATTTTTCAACTATTTAAAGATGTAAAATCATGGCCTAGAACTACAGAAACTATCAATACTTCTATGACCTAATTGAAAAAATAAACGCAAAAACTCCTGCAATAGATTCTTGGAGAGATTCTCTTGTACCAATCAGTTGATAGTTTGGGATTCTTTAGAGGCTCTTCAGAACCAAGTTCAACATACTCAAGCAGCCTGGTGTTCCTCTCTGCCAGTCTCAACTAAAACTTGGGTTATTCATAATAACTTTTCCCACATGTCATTGAGGCAACAATCTTAAATGAGACTGTTCATTCCCCAAATCCCTATAATTCCAATGGATTTGCCCTTTGAACACCAGTGATTTACATTCCCAGTGAAAATAGGCCATCAACAAAATAAAAAGACAATCTCTGAAGACCAGTAGCTTTAAACTGCATCATGCTTTTCCCATAGTCAGCTCTATATTAGTTGCTCAAGAGACAGATCCCCAATATTTTCATACTGGCACTCAATTAGCAGAACCACTAATGTGACCTATCTATATATATATATATATATATATATATATATATCAGTCAGTTATGTGCCATGCGTGATATGCTTCAGCAATCATGTATTTTTCAATACATGACTTATGAAGCAGATTTTTTTTTCCAGCAATAGGTTGCCATTTCTTTCTGTGGTAGACCAGTTGCCATCCAAGGCTATAGAACTTGGTCAGTCCTGCTATTTACCCATAGCTGGGGGAAGAAGACAAGGATTCATACCTCTCCCAAAAGTATTACCACATAAGTGAATGTAATGGATTTGATTGGAATTTGAACTTGGCTCTCAGAGTCCTCAATCCAAGCTGCTAACCATTACCCCACCATGCCTCCTATATTATATATTAGTAAATAAATAAAAAGTTCAATCAACTCTGAGTCTTTAAATTTTTTATTTTATTTATTTAATTAGTATTTCTTAATATTGAGCACTTTTTATTAACAAAAATATGGTCACTTTAATCATGTTATCTTCCAGTAATTTATATTATAATCATTGTTGTTTAGAGAAAGGGAAATGAGAGATGGATACACATTGTATTTTATATATGCGTATATTAATATAATTTATCCATGTATAAATAAGCCCACCATTTTTAACAGGTTCATTAATAATTTTTTTTTTTTAATTAGAACAGGAATTTTCCCTTAATTTATTAATATTTACTTTATACAAGAAAAATCTCTTATTCATATATTTCTTCTATGTTAAAATAAAAGTAATAAAAGTTCAAAGAAAATGTTAAATTTAGTTTTTCTTGCTTGACATTAAATTCATTAATATTATTTGGTGGGGAAGTGGGAGAAAAGACAGAAAGAAATGTCATTGAAAATTTATGTTAAAGTGATAGAATTCTGATATCATTTGTCATTCAGTTTGGATATTGAAGTCAGGGCAGAATTCAATTGGTAATTTTATATATCTATTTCCTTTGAGTATAACAAGAGAAGAAACAAACAAAACAAAAGTCACTGTTCATGATATAAATGCTTTCAATTAACCAAAATAAAAACCAATATTAGATCACTTCACTGCAGTATGTCACTCTAAAACTAATAACTATTAAGAGAAGGATATACTGACAAGTTTTGTATTGAGAATATTCAAACTAAATATTCTTAACTAAATGTCCCTTTTTGTTTTTTAACTAAGTCTAGTTTTAACTCATTTACAGTCATAACTTTACAACATGGTTGCAGGATTTACTTTCAAAAGAAACTTTAAAAAAATTTTAAGAACCTCACTGTTTCAAAAGTTCTGAACATGAAAATATTAAAAGTTTCAGCCTGAATTTCTGGGATGTGGCTTTATTATTAATTACAGTCAAATTAAAATCCTCATCTTTGCTGTTATAACATTTCAGCCATTCTGCACTCCAGCCTTCTTTAAGTGTCTATCAATCCAGGTAAACATCAGAGAATTTCAAACTGAACCATTTACCTTTTTAAGTGACCAATACTAAAAAATAAGAACAAAACGAGATATCCTTAGACATGGACAGTAGAATGAGAACAATCTCCTCCCATAAATTAAATAAAGGGTTCAGTTTGACATTTCCAAAAGGTTACTCATATCAACATATACCTGAAAATGCCTGGAAAGCATAACAATTGAAATGCTGTGATAGAATATAGATGAGGATATTAGGCTGTTATGTAAATAAGAAAGCATTCATACCCAAGTGTAGTTGTTGAAAATAAGGAATACTGGAAGCTGATAGTGACTCATTAAATAAAATAATTTAGATTATTTTTACTTGACTGTATTTGAATACTTGCAGGTAATTCAATTATAGTTGTATATAGCAATCTATTACAAAATTCAACTAAAGCTGCATGTT